ATCCTGAGGTCATGTTGGCTGGTACAAGTGTATAGACTTTCAGAAAGGTATAAAGACCTTAGAGCACTGCTGGTACAAGTGTATAGACTTTCAGAAAGGTATAAAGACCTTAGAGCACTGCTGGTACAAGTGTATAGACTTTCAGAAAGGTATAAAGACCTCAGAGCACCACTGGTACAAGTGTATAGACTTTCAGAAAGGTATAAAGAAAGACCTTAGAGCACTGCTGGTACAAGTGTATAGACTTTCAGAAAGGTATAAAGACCTTAGAGCACCACTGGTACAAGTGTATAGACTTTCAGGAGGACATAAAGACCTTAGAGCTCCACTGGTACAAGTGTATAGACTGTCAAAAGGACATAAAGGCCTTAGAGCACCACTAGTGCAAGTGTATAGACCTAGGAGGAGATTATGTTGTAAAATAAATCATTGTTGACAGTGTCCCTTTTCTTTATAGGTCAGGTCACAAACTTTTGTACACCCCTTGTAATCATTAAGATCACATCAAAACTATCAAGGTAAGTTTTGGATGCTTACCTTTGTACAGAATATAATCCTCAAGATCACAATAAAACTATTGAGGTAAGTTAACAAAGTTTTGTATACCTGTCTTTGTATTGAATATAATCCTCAAGATACTGACAAAACTATTGAGGTAAGTTAGAGTTTTGTATGCCTGTCTTTGTATCAAATTTTATCCTCAAGATACTGACAAAACTATTGAAGTAATTAATATTAACTTTCAATAAGAACAAGCTACCTGTTTAAGTAATGAGTATAGTTAATTAAAGGTATATTTCTTACATTCTTACTTGTAAAGATTAGAATGCATTGTTTGATCAGTTGGATAACTTCACTGTTAACAATACTTTTTGCTGTAACTCTTAACAATATCTCACAAGGTTTGACTAGCTGAAAATGTTTTTCAGTCCTAAATGTATAATAACAAAAAATAAAATTATATATATAACCAATAATGTTAATGAAAAGAACAATAAAAAAATAATAGTGTAACATACAAACACTAATTGTTGGTTTCAAGTTCTGTCACCAATTTAACTTATGTTGAACAACATAACATTAGCATAACTGCGTATAAGCAGAACTTTACAAATCTCTCTTTAAAACATCTTTTAACCAATGAAAACCCACTAAATAGGTCCAACAGCACAACTTTAGAGGCATCAAAGATAAATGTCTACTCTATTTAGGTGCAGAGACAAATAGTAGGTCATTACCAGGAGTGCAGCCAAAAACTGTTTATGGAGATACAAAATAATAAGAAATTAAATGAATATTTGAGTCATATAATAAATAGCTAGAATATTGGTTGTGTAATGAAAATATAACAATATTAAATGTAATACAAAGAAAAGAATATGTTAAATATACTATGTCACTTAACAATAGCAAGCAATACATAAAACTGCAATAAAACTGGAAAAAATATCAATAATAGTAAGACTTTGAAAGGAAAGTTACAAGATCTGTAAATATGGTGACAAAATAACTTATCAAAAACTAACAGAAAGTAACTAATGTCATATGAAACAGTTACATAGCCTGTATGAGCTATAAATATTAAGAGCTTAATTTAGTTAGAGATGAAACCATTATGGTGGTCAATACAATAAAGTTAAAACATTTCTAACAGAATTTGTGCAGACGTAAAAGTTTGGATTCTTGTGTTCTTGTTACTAGATGGTTCTGTTAAATGTATCGTGGTGTAATATTGTTGTATTGTAATTTATCAGTCTATATGATGACAGAATTGGAGTTGTTTTTGTGTGTGTATGTGTGCTTGTTTGTCTTTTCATTGAACATATATTATCCACATCTGTGTTGTCAAGGTAGATTGGCAAAAATCTGTATGATATAAAACTGAAGATACCATTAACTAACGAGTGCATTTTTCTTCTCATCTCCAGTTTCTGAAGAAGGAAAAACTGCTTTCTGAGGACACTTGTGTGGTCCAGACGGTTTCTTCTTATGTGATAACATAAAAAATGATTTTCAAGTGTATTTATAACAAATATACTAAATTATTAATAAGGAAACAAATGGGACATCAAAAATGGAGGTGACCATGCTTAAAGTAGGTAATATTGTCATGGTGAAACAAATGGGACATCAAAAATGGAGGTGTCCATGCTTAAAGTAGGTAATATTGTCATGGTGAAACAAATGGGACATCAGAAGTGGAGGTGTCCATGCTTATAGTAGGTAATATTGTCATGGTGAAACAAATGGAACATCAGAAGTGGAGGTGTCCATGCTTATAGTAGGTAATATTGTCATGGTGAAACAAATGTAATATCAGAAGTGGAGGTGTCCATGCTTATAGTAGGTAATATTGTCATGGTGAAACAAATGGAACATCAGAAGTGGAGGTGTCCATGCTTAT